TCAAGAGGTTTCAGAAGGAATTGATATTAACAACTGAGCTAAAGCCCTTTGTGATATTTTGGCAAAGAATCTGGCTGCTTTTTCTTGTCATAAGAATTTGCTGTACACTCACTGAAGTATGTAGGACTACTTAATTTCATTAGCAAAGGAGATTTCAAGGATACTTAATATTGACTGTGTCATGTGGTTATCACTGATCACTCTTATGCAGATCTACAATGAAAAAGAGCAAGCGACCCCAAAAGAATACAAAATGTACAGTTAGAGGAGATAAAGGACAGCAGGACATTTAATGTTGGAGCCAAGTTAAGCTCGAAGAGAAAAGAGGTTTAAAGAAAGGCCTAATGCTAAATTAAATAAAGGAAGTGGTACCCTCAGGGGAAGACCCCTCCCAGCTTGTGAAAAGAACGGGCTAAGGAATTATCTGTTCCTAAAGAGCAACAACAAACCAAAGCTTATGCCAATGTCATTAAGGCAGGGCCAGGTCCCATCCCAAGAAAGCAGAAGAACGTGGCAACTTCAACCATGTGGTTCTCCAAGTGGCTCTGACTTTAACAGAATACAGAAACAAGGGGCTGTGCAATCTTTCTCCAAGGTAAAGGAAAGATGCTGAAACCAGACATGTGGCATGCAGCAGAAGAGACCCCACCTGCAGGCCTGGAGAGGCCACTGTGTGAAGCTGTGAAGGTAAAGTCTGCATCGAGTTGGAGACCCCAAAATGTTGTAGATGACAGAGTCATCTTGACAGAGTCCCTTGTGGAGGAGACCTGCAGACAGGGCATGGAACCAACCCGAGAGAGAAGTGTGTTGCAGTCAACAAAGCTGGAAAGAACGAGAGATCTGAAAAGCCATCTAATAAGCCCTTTGGCACCATAAACAGAGATATGGGATTTGGAGTCTGGCCTGCTGGGTTTCATTCTTGCTTTGGTTCAGTATTTCCTCACTGTCCCATTCTTCCCTTTTGGAATGGTAATATCGATTCTATATCATTGTATTTTCAAGGTATTAACTTGCCTTTTGATTTTGCAGGGGTTTACAATTAAGGTATTGCCTTGAGTCTCAGAAGAGACCTTGGATTTTAATTTAAACGGTGTTAAGACTGCAAAACACTATGGAGTCTTTTGAAATTAGACTGAATGCATTTTACATTCTGATATAAGCCTATCACTAAAAGGATGGATGGCACTGGTTGGTCAGCGGAAGAGTCACAGCCAGGGCAGAACCCAATATTAGTTTCTAGAGCTTTAATGGAGGGAAAGGAGGGGGAGGAGCCAGGCCTGGTGGGGGAAGGAAGCAGGGAGAAGAGCAGAGGGGAAACAGAAAAAGGGAGGGTGGGGGTCGTGTCCAGCTTTTTAAGGCTAGTACTTAGTCGCCCACTGATGACATAAAATGTTAAACCGGGAAGAGTGAGAACAGGATCCTAACAATCATAATGGGGCCAGGGAGTGAAATGTGGTTGTCTGAATGATAATGCACTCACCTCAAAGCTCATATATTTGAATGTTTGCTTCCTAGATAGTGTAACTGTTTTGGAAGGATTAGTAGGCGTGGCCTAGACCATGCCAGGTATAGTCGTATTCTCTTTCTGCTTCCTGCTTGTGGATCAAGATGTGAGCTCTCAACTGCTGCTCCAATACCATGCCTGCCTGCATGCATGCCTGCATGCATGCCTGCATGTCACTGTATTCTTTGCCATTGGGCCATGGACTCACCCTCTGAAAATGCAAGTGAGGCCCCAAATAAATGCTTTCTTTTATAGATTGGCTTGATCATGGTGTCTCTTTAGAGCAATAGAAAAGTAGCTAAGATAATTCCCTTTGTTTTTGTAGCAGTCTGTATTTTAAAAAAAGAAACAGCTTTAAAAAACAGTTAACATACTTGTGACTTATAAATGATACTAATGCTCAGAGTATTTTTTATTTTTTTTATATATGAGATTGTCTCAGTTTATCTGGAAATTTTACAAGAGTGCCATTATATTTTAAATACCAGTAGTTCTGTAACTTTTCAAGTGGATGTATCCCCAAAATTTGTTCAAAAATCTCTAAATTCTGATTCTTATTAGACCTTCACTAGCAGTCTATACAGTGGTTTTAATAGCATTTTATTAAAATACTGTCCAGTAATAAATAATAACCCCCAAGACAAAGTTATTATTAATGTTCCCATTTGATACTATGCTAGATTCTTCTAATGGTAAAAATACAAACTACCTTCCAGTAAAATGATCTGCAGGAACAATTTTTGCATTATTTCAGTGGAAGCAACTTACACACAGCCAGATGAAATAGCTCTCTATAGCATGGATACTATGTTAGAAACATTTCTGTCCAGTATACTCCCAGAGAGGTTCCAGGATTTTTCTGTAAAAATGTTTACCAGACTTGACATTCTAGAAGAACTCAATGATGCTTCAACTTTTACATCAGTACCTGTGTAATCTCTGCCATCTTGAGAGGCTGTGGTCATCCAGGGTAATGTCAAAAGTATCAAGCAACAATAACTTTTCCAACAGTGAAATGTCTCAAAATAAACTGGCTCAAATGTTACTGTGGCGATGTTTTATGTTTGAGCACTTACAAACCACACCACAATTTAATGGAGGGAAGAAAAGCCATTCATGTCTTTGGGGAGTTGAGAAGAGCAGCAATACACCATATGAGATTCCAATCGTCAAGTCCAGTTGTTCAGAACACAAACTGGGAACCAATAGTAAAAATCGGTGATGTTTCCTGGGAAAGGAATGAACACTCTCCATGTCCCATCTCACCCCCCACCACTGAAACATGATCACAACAGAAGCTAGAAGACAGAGAGGTTTGAGAGCCACTGCTCCAAATATGGGCCAAGAAAAACTCCAGGGATAAAAAAATTCTTTAGTTTGGAATAGAGCTACTTTCTTAAATACTGAAAAGAGATAAAAACTGGTCAGGCAGTGATGGAACCAGCAGTTCTGAAAGTGTTCTTGCTAGAGGCCAGGACACCAGAAGTGAGTTCCATTTCCTGGCTCCCTGTTTTCTATCCTTACTCCAACTGTAAGCTACACAACAGGTGAGCAGAACTGAGAGGAGACATCTGAGCCCCTGTGGTGGGGCCAGTGGTACTGAGCAGCACATACCCCGTTCCATTCTTCATCCCATAAGCCCCTTTAAAAGCTCCCAGATTGGCAGCTCAGCTTGTCATTCCAGGACACCCACTCCTGAGAGATAGAATGTACATATTCTACTCCTTCCGATTATGTGGCAAAAACCAAAAACATTTATTGAGTGAACACTGTTATGTTTAGCGCTATTTTTAGCCATCCAGACACCTATTAACTAACCATGATGCATTTGGATGAGGAGACTGGTCCAAAACAGGTTAACTAAATCGTCAATGTCATTCAGATTCTTAACAGAACAGGCTTTGCATCCAGGTCAGGTACTCTGACTTTTGAAAGCAAGCCTATACCTTCTCACCATTTTTCTTCCCATATCTTGGATCACTTGTTTATTTAGACATTGATTTATCATTTCTTGGGGGAGTTTCTGTGCCTGCCATGAATGACTGGCTTCTAAAGACAAAGGAAAGAAATCTGAGGAAGATAGAGACTCCTAGGAAGTAGTAGTCAGTCCATGGTCACTACCTCAACTCCCTGGCTGGATGTGTTAATTCCACCAATCAAGAATAAGACCACTACCGCAATTCAAAATCAGATTTGAAGCAAGCTCTAATTAAACACTGGCCAGGTGGATGGGCTCTGGCCAGGTCCATCGCTAGGTTTCCAGAAGATGGCCTTGAATCAGGGTTTACAGCAGCTTAAGTATTTCCCATCAGGTCCAGTCAGAGGCATGCATACATCCTGATGTATCCCCAGGCTACACCCAATCAGGGGCAAGCATACATCCTGACATACTTCCTGCCTGTGAACCTCCTGCCCACATGTGATCAAGCTCATCAAGTGCAGATGGGTCAAACCACCTTGTTGAGGGCAGTGAAAACATGGGGCTTGTTTTCTCCATAAACAACAGCCTCCAGCATTTCAGGAACTACCTGTTCTCCTCCGGCAAGGGGCTTGCAGATCAGAGGCATTTTTATTTCAAGGCTCTCTTAGGCATAGTAGTTAAAACCTAAATGTAATTCTGGCTCTCACAGATGACTGTGAAACCTGCACCAAGGAATGATTGTACAGCAGGCCACCTGAAAGCAAGGATGTGGAATAGGAACTCTGAAATACATTTCCTACGCTAAGGAAAGAAAGCCTGTAGGCAGTGACCTGGGTTCAACAGCAGGATGTAGTCCTGTAGAGAAGGTTCAACAGGACCGTTGTCTCTAGGTCCTACAGAGGACCTCAGGACTAACTACTGTAGTTCACAGAATAGTAGAATTTGGAAGTCTGACCTTAAATATACTATGATGTAGAACAGAAGGCACAGCCTCCCCTACTAAGGATTTCCAAGTTGCATTCTCAGGAGCCTTTGTATCTGCTGGCCACCTTTATTTCAGTATGTGTCACCTCTCTTCTTTTTCTTATATTATTCAGGAAAGGGGATTTTGCAGATGTGAGTCAGGTTTGGAAACTTTACAAAGGGAGATGATCTCACATAATCTGAGCTCAATCCAATCATCCAACCCTAAGGCAGACACCAAAGGCAGAAGAGTCATGTTTGGCATAGGACAAGTAGAGAAGCCGGGGCAGAGGTCAAGCAGAACATCACAAGGGGTAAGAACTTACCCTGCCCTTGTTACTCTATAGGACAGAAAGGGGGGGGTGGACCACAAACCAAGGAATGCAGGTGGGTCCTCAAAGCTGAGAAGGAACATAAGCAAAGAAATGGGGAGCATAAGACTAGAGAATTCTGTAACACCATACTGTAGTGTGTACACACTGCTTATCACTAGGGTCTTCCTCTGCTCTACCCATTACCCCATTCTAACCACAAGACAAAACTCTACTAAATCTGGGTGTAGAGACTTCCATAAACCATCTGACTGGTCCTTTCCATACCTGTTAAGATCATCAAAGTCAAGAAAGATCTGAAAACTGGCACAATCCAGAAAAGCCTAGTTATGAGTAAATAGAGTGTGGTATCTTGAACAGAATCTTGGGACAGGAGGCACCACCAGGTATAAGCCAAGAAAATGTGAGTAAAGTAATGCAGTTTAGTTAATGATGTGTATGTTTCAGTTCATTAATTGTAATAAGCGTATCATATTGATGTAGACAGTTATTAACATGGAAAACTGTATATGGGACAAATGGTAACTCTTTGGGCTGTAATAGCTTTGTAACGTTTCTACACTTCTAAAGCTGTTATAAAATATGATATTTGGGACGAGCACATTGGCAACACCTGATTTTTGATGGGCTACATTCAAAGTTAGGAGAAGATGAAGAGTCATTGAGTTCTTCTAGCATGTCAAGTCAGGCGAATATCTCTACAGAAAAAGCCCAGAACCTCCCTGGGAGTATATTGGAGAGAAATATTTCTGACATGGTATTCACCCTATAGGAAGCTGTTTCATGTTTCTGACTGTATATAAGTTGCATCCACTGCAATAACCCAAGCATTGTTCCGGAAGATCATTGTACTGGAAGGTGGTTTTGTTTCCTGTTACTTGCATTTTTACCTTTAGAGGAGTCAGGCATAGTATCATCTGGGAACATCAATAATAACTTCATTTGGGGTGCTATTAATTGTTCCTGGACAGTATTTTAATAAAAACGCTATTAAAACTACTGTACAGACTGGTAGCAAAAGGTGTACTAAGAATCAGAATTCAGAGGTTTTTGAACAAATATTGGAAGTACATTCATTTAAAAAGTCACAGAATGACTGATGTTTAGAATATAGTGGCCTTTAGGAGTGTACCCACAATATGTAATAGTGGAAACAACAAGACAAGGTACATTAGCAAAAGGACAGGCTATACAGAGGATGTCAGAATGAAAGCCATTATTATATGCTAAATAAAAGATAAAAATAATAGCAGATAGGGAAAGGATCACCTCTGAAATGTAGTGAACAACCTGGAAATCCAAACACAGAAAAAATAAAATATGGACCCATATTTTAAACTATACACACAAATCACCTTACAATGAATTAAAGACAAAGGAGCATAAAAACCTAGGACTGTATAAACGCCTAGAAAAAAACCACAAAGGGCAAGCTCAAAATCCTCATCATGAAAATGATTTCATGAAATAACACAGGTAGAGTCAACAAAACAAAAAGTATCCAATGACACCATATCCAGTTCAAGTTTCTGCACAGGAAAGGAAACAGAAGAGAAGAAAACACAACTATGGAGGAGGAAAGGATTTGCACACTGTAAGTTGAATATGTGGTTAAAATACCTTCTAAATGCTTCAAACCCAGTAACAACAACAATAATAATAACAACGTCAATCCCTGGGAACGCACTGGCCCATGCAGGCCAGAGAATCAGGTAGGAGAATTTCATTCTCCTGTCTTCCAATTACAGCCCTCCTGCTTATCCCCAGCTGCAGCCATTTCCAGGGGATCACCCAGATCTTTTCCTACAGCCTCCCTTCACTACCCTATCCTTTCTCTCAATCACCAACTCCCTCAGACGTTCCCTGGAAGCCCACCAGCCACACCAGCCAGGGAACCAGGTAGGTGATCTCTGGCCTCTCCCTTCTCTTCCAATGCCAACACCCCAGTGTCACCCCTGGCTTGTTGCCGACCACCTGCTAAGGCCTCTCCTTCCTCTCTATCCCCGCTCCCAGGGGTCTGCACAGATTCTGTTGGAACACCTAGCTTTCTCCCCTCCTGTAGGCCTTCTCAGCCCTCCACCATTGTAGCCCATCCCCATTCCTGCCTCTCAGCTCCCAATACCTAGAAATGAATTCTAACTGGAACCCCCAGGAGCCACATCTGGCTGAATCTCAGCAGCATTCCCTACCAAGCAACCCACAGCCACAATACTCTCCTAAGAACCAGAGACGACAGGAGCAATGAGCTGAACACCCACCAACAAACACAAGACCAGATATCAGCACCTAGAATTACAATCATCCCAAACCCAGGTGCCAAGATGCTAGGGTAAAAACACAGGCAATATATACAGCCAGGATGATATGTCTCCACTAGAGTCCAACAACCCTACTACATTAAGCCGTCTACTATAGTGGAATCACAAGACAAGGACTTCAAAATATGCTCAAGGGCCTTAAAGAGGATGTGAAGAAATTCATTAATGTAGAAAACTGTTAAGGACATGAAAGTAGAAAAGGGATTGATAAATAAAGCCCAAACTGAGGGAAAAGTGGAAATGGAAAATTTAGGAATTCAAACTGGAACCTTAGAGGCAGGCCTCAGCAACAGAATATAAAAGACAGAAGAAGCTCAGGCACTTAAGATAATATAGAAGAAACAGATACCTCAGTCAAAGAAATGTTAAATCTCAAAAAAAATCCAGCCACATAACATCCAGGAAATCTAGGACACTATGAAAAGACCAAACCTATGAATAATAAGCATAGAGGAAGGAGAAGATCCTTAAGTCAAAGGCACAGAAAATATTTTCAACAAAAGCAAAGAAGAAAAATTATCTCAACCTAAAGAAGGAGGTACCTATCAAAGTAAAAGAAGCATACAGAACTCCCAATAGATTGGACGAGAAATGAAATTCCCCACAGCACATAATAATCCAAACACTAAATGTGCAGAACAAAGAAAGAATGGTAAAAGCTGCAAAGGAATACGACAAAGTGACATCTAAAGGCAGCCCTACTAGAACAACACCTACATGTTTAATAAGGGGAACATTCACCCATTGCTGCTGGGAGTGCAAACTTGTCCAGCCACTATGGAAATCAGCACAGTGGTACCTCAGGAAGATGGGAATCCATCTACCTTAAGATGATACAGTTATACCACCACTCTTTCTCATAAACCCAAACGATATTTTATCCTACTACAGAAACACTTGCTCAACCTTGCTCATTGCTATTCTATTCGTGATAGCCAGAAACTGGAAACAGCCTAGTTGCCCCTCAGTGGATGAACAGATAAAGAAAATATGATACATTTCCACAAAGGAATATTAACCAACTGCTACAATCAAATCATGAAACAGACCTGTAGAACAATGAAACAGAATAGACAACTCAGACACAAACCCAAGACCCTACAGCTGCTACCTGATTTTGGATAGCATCTGCAAAAATATGCATTGTAGAAAAGACGGCTTCTCCAATAAATGGTGCTGGCAAAACTGGGTATCCACCTATAGAAAATTAAACTACACCTACTTTTCATCTTGGATGATAATGAGCTTTAAATAAACAAAACACCTTACTGCAAGAAACTCTAAAACTGATTTTAAAAAAAAAGAGTAGGGAAACCACTTCAAGACATAGGCAAGCACCTTCTAAGTAGGGCTGCCTTGTCCAGGAAGTAAGGACAATTGCTGACATGAGATTTAGAGGCTTCTATACAGCAAAGGAAACAGTCAACTGCATGAAAAGACAGCCTACAGAATGAGGGGAACTCTTGCTCATTCTACATTCTGCAGAGGATTAAGATCTAAAATTTACAAGGAAAATTAAAAAAAAAATCATAACCAACCGGCAAACCAAAACAACTCAATCAATAAACATGCCAATGAAAGGAGCAGACAGGTCTCCATAGATACAACACAAACGGCCAGTCAACACATGGAAAAATCCTTCAACCTCACTGCCCATCAAGACAATGCAAATCAAATCAACACTGAAATTTGGTTCGACCCCATCCTAAATGGCGGCCGTTAAGAAAATGAACAATGACAAAATACCGTCAAGAAGGTGGACAGAAAGGAAGAACCCTTATCCACTGCTGGTGGGAAGGTAAATGGGTCCAGCTACCATGGAATTCCATATGTCGGTTTGTCAAAAAAATTAACAAAACTAAAATATAGAAGGGCTAGAGTGACAGTTCCATGGTTAAGAGCATGGACTGCTCTTGCAGAGGGACTGCATTCAGTTCCCGGTACCCACATGGCAACTTACAACTGTCCATAATTCCAGCTCCAGAGAATCTGATGCCTTCTTCTGGCCTCTATGGGCACCAGGAGTGCACAGGATACACATGCATTCATACAGGTGAAGCATTCATACGCATAAAATAAAATCAAATAAATCCTTTTAAATGGACCGACCATATGATCCAACTCTACCACTCCTGGCGATGGATCCCAAAGAAGCCAGGTTAGCATATGACTGAGATGTATTATATCACTGTCCACTGTTCACAATAGCTCCATTACAAACCAACCTAGGAATCTAACAACAGAAGTCTGCATGAAGAAAATGTAGTGTATATACACATCACATTATTTTACAGCCATCAAGGCTGATATAGTTTTATACTGTTTGAAGAAAAATAAGGACAACTGGAGATAATCACATCTAGTAAATCTAAGCGAATCTCAGACTTACATATTCATTCATGTTTTCTCTCATTGGTGGGTTCTAGACTTTATGAACACATAAAACCAGACATATATAGATAAGAGCAGAAACAAAACTGACTCTGGGAACAAAGGATATGAATGGGAAGGGGCGGGGCAAGACACGGGCCGAAACCCATTTAAGTATATTCAAACTTTCATGAAAACTGCCTTATGTAAACAGGTAAAATATAAACAATGTAAGTTTGCATTTTGAAACATTGTAGACTTCGGATTATTTTAGATGCTCAGTTTGTATTTCTTGTATGTTTTCTTTAGAGAGGGGACGTTTATTCTGCTTTACTCTTACAGAGAATACAGTCTCTCATGGCAATGGAGTCGTGGTACTGGGAACGGGAGGCCAGCTGGTCACATGGCATCCACAAGTAGGGAGCCGAGAGTGATGGAGGCAGTTATCAGCCATGCCACTGTTGGTGTTCTGTGAAGGAAGTTCTTAGTCCTGGGGATGTTGGGAGGGTTGCAAGATTACACCTAAGACAGAATCGCACTTTCCCTACTAGACAACCAAGGGGCCCGGACATTGCTAAATGTCCACTAGGGGGCAACGTTGCTCCTTGTTAAAAGTCTTTGAGCATGGTTGCCAGGCTCTGGGCTGTTAGTAAACTTCCTGGGACTCTTTGTTGGGGCTCACTGGATTTCTTTGGGTCTACCATGAATCTTTGCTGCTTTCTTTGAAATTCACATAAACCATTGTGAACAGCCAAGACTGGTGACAAAATTATCAGGCCTGAGTGTCACATTAAAGCACAGGCCTCTTGTTCAAAATGAAATTTTTAACATGCACCATGATCGCTGACAGTGATTCCATATGCTGCCATTTAGGAAACTAGCTGGGAAGAGCTGCCAGTGTCAGATGTTTGACATTAGGTACCTGGGAAGCACTCAGAAAGCTCTCCAAGATCAAGTAAGTTCACAAGTTTATAAAGAGCTAACATTAAAAGACAAATGAAACAAAGCAAAACCAGTTAACATAAAAAGTCAAATCTTCAATAGAAAATGTTGAGCTAAAACAAGCATGAATTCTACAACACTGGTCTATTTTGCTATTTCTCAGGAGTTGCAAGAAAGCTCTGTGAATAATCAATAGCTCAGCCCTAGAGCCTACACTGAGCAGCATCAGTGAGGCCATGGGTCCAATCTCAGCAGAGCAAAACTCATTTTTTTCCACAATTAAAAGATACAAACAGCCGGGCGTTGGTGGCGCACGCCTTTAATCCCAGCACTCGGGAGGCAGAGCCAGGCGGATCTCTGTGAGTTCGAGGCCAGCCTGGGCTAC